TATTTCATCCTTCCAAGTCTGTGTGGTGCACGTAGAGTGAGCCCTGGAAACGCAGGGGAAGGTTGTGTGTGTGTGCATGCGTGTGCACATGCGTGTGCGTGTATGTGCGTGTGTGTGTGCATGTGTGTGCACACGGATGTGCCATGCTGGAGCGCGCAGCCCCCTTGGTGGGGCCAAGCACAGACTTACCCAGGACTCTTTGGGTCACACCGTTGAAATCAAGTTCAAAGTGATGCAAGCGGGTGGGGGAGGGGAGAGTGTGGGACCGTGACAGGCCGACTCCCGTCCTCTCAAAATTCAGATGCTGAGGTGCTAGCCCCAGTACCTGAGGCTGCAGGAGGGGACTGTGACAATGTGTGGAAAACGGAATTAAATACGTCAATTTGGGGTGCAAGTCCAAATCCAGATCTGTGCTTGGCTAAGAGGGGTTTTCAGAGTTCGAAGTGCCCAGCATTTGATCTGGTTACAACGTGGTCACTAGTGTGGGTCCAGTGCCAACTGGTGTCCTTCTTTTTTTTTTTTTTTTTTTTTTGACAGGCAGAGTTAGTGAGAGAGAGAGAGAGAGAGACAGAGAGTAAGGTCTTCCTTCCATTGGTTCACCCCCCAAAATGGCCCCTTGGTGCTGATGGCCTAGCAACTCCGTAAACAGTGGGAGGATCGGGCATCCCTTGAGGGAACCGTGGAAGGCAGGGCTGGCTCTGAGCAGAGCCCAGCGCTCCCTGCCCCGCCCCAATCCATCACCAGGCTCTGGGTCGGCCCGTTTTCTCGGGCAGCCCCCAGCGGCAGGCCCTGGAGGTGTGGCTCTGGGGCACGGCTGACAACTCAGGTCCCAGCAGGACAGCCAGTGCTCCCCTTCCGCCCGCAGCTCTGGACGGCTCCACGGATTCCGATCTCTCTCCTCAGGGCTTGGAGCCTGCTCCCAGGGCTGGGGCGGCACAGCTGGGCTGGGTCCAGCCAGGAGCCTGCGTCCTCCTGCCGGCAGGGCTGGGGTGCTGGTGGCGATGCAGGGGTGGGGCTGCCAGGAGGCACTGTGGTCACCAGCAGCCCTGCCCCCCAGGACGTCACGGGGTGGGGCCCAGCAGTTTTCCGAGGCCGGCAGAGAGGAGAGGTGGGCGTGGCAGAGAACCTGTCCCTTGCTGCGCCGGTGTATCTGCCCCGTGGTCCCCACAAAACCCAGCCTGCGCGGTGCATGTGGGCGTGCGGAGTGGGTGGCAGGCGGCGTGTTGGGATGGAGTCCACCCTTTTCCCCAGCCAGAGTCCAGCAGCCCGAGACTGACCCCAGTGCCCGGGACGGGGAGCCCTGCCACAGAGGATGGCACAGTGGCCTCCGCGCTGTCCGTCGCAAGTCCTGAACCTCTGGGCTGGGTGTCCCTGAATTCTCCTGGTGCATCTTGAGCCACGGGGCAGCTGGGCCCCAGTTTAGTTCCCTCTCTGAGTAGCAGATGGTTCCTGGCCCCTGGGTCTGGGTGAGGTGGGGGGAGATTTGTCAGGGCAGGTGCCTCTTGAGCTCACTAGAGTTTTCTTGGCTTTTGGGACCCCATTCTCTCAGCTCTCCATGGCTGCAATGCCTGCCTTGGCGTCCCCTCGGGCTAGGAGGTCTGGGCAGGCTGACCCCCGACCCCTGCCCACCCTCACCCCCCACAGTGGGCTTGCGTGCCTATCTGAGGGAGCCAGAGCCACGAGACCCCACCCGATACCTGGAATGACAGGTGCGGGGCTGTCCCTTGTGCAGCCGTCACCCAGCGACGTCTGATGGCCGTTTGCCAACAATGGGGGCCAGTCTGTCTGAGAAGGACCTGAGGGGGAGGGGGACACAAATCCAAGAGACGGAGGAGGCTGGAGGGCCTGGGCATCCCGCCCTGGCCAGAGCCGGTCTTTGTCCTGGGCGGTTCTTTCCGCAGCCAGTCGGCCCCTCCTGCGCCGCGAGCCAGCCTCCGCGCTGGGTTTGTCACCGCTCACCGCGGTACAGAAGTGCCGCCTGTCCCAGAGACTTGTCCTTTCCATCTGGATTTCTCTGGAGCCTTGATTTTTCCCTCTTCGGCCAAACCGTTAGCTTCTGGAGGGGAGGTTTGCCCCAGCGCGCTGTACCAGCTCCCGCCACACAGCGTCAGCAGCGCTGGCCACGAACCATCTCCGTCCCGACGCTGTCCCAGATGTGTGCTCTCGGCAAGCTGCAGGCAGCTGCAGGGGCTTGACGCGCCCCTAGAGCCCCCGAGGGGCGGGCTCCTGAACTTGATTTCATTTTAATTAATTAATTCATCATTAAAAAACCCGCCTGTGGCTTGTGGCTGCCGTATTGGACAGTGTGACTTCTCAATGGCTTGTTTATTTATTTAGGAAGGCAGAGGGACACACACAGAGAGATATCAGCCATCTGTGGGTTTACCTCCCCACACCCACCACAGTGGGGGCTGAGCCAGGCCAAACCCGGGAGGCAGGAAGCCCAGCTGGGTCCCCCATGTGGGTGGCAGGGACCCAAGTCCTTGAGCCATCATCTGCTGCCTCCCAGGGTGTGCATGAGCGGGAAGCTGGAGGGAAGCCGAGGCGGGACTTGACCCCAGGCACTAGGGTATGAGGTACAGGTGTCCCCCAAAGGCAGTTTAACCTGCTGTGCCACAACGCCTGCCCCTCGGGGGCCCTGCTGGTGCCCTGTGGGTTCTTCTAATTAATTCATTTATCTGTTCATTTATTTCACAGGCAAGGAGAAAGCACTGGCCGGTGCGTAGGGGATGCAGTCCGTGAGAAGTCACATGCTCCACGGCCCCACACCTCCAGCCCCACGGCTGAGCTGAGAGGCCCATCGCGGTCAGGGGGAGGCCGGGGGATGGAGGGGGTAGGGGTGCTCAGTGCACAGGGCTACCCCAGGACGATTAATCAAATGCTGAGATGAACCAATCCATCTGTGCTCTATGGGGAGCCTTCTAGCCCCGGAGGGGGCGGGGCCTGGGAGAATGGCTTTAATGGGACTGAAGTTCAAGTCGTGGTTCTGCCAGCCGGGAAGACTCGGGGCAGCCCCTCCCTCTGTCTGTGCTGTCAGTGAGATGGAGTTAGTGACGGGCCCCTCGGGATGGTGCTACAGATGTCCGGGCACACAGTGAGTGGCTGGAACAAACACACAAGCCCAATCTTAATTATTGTGGGAATGTGGCCCCTCTCCTCTGAGCCTTAGAGGGAGACTCAGAGAGGCCCGGCCATGCCATGGCCCTCGTTAGGCTCCGCCCTTTCTTTCCCAGAGATGCCCAGCAAGGGGGAGCCAGGTCTTGCCCTTGGCTTTGGCAGAGCTGTACAGAGGCCCGCTCTCTGCCCTCGGAGAGCAGTGGCCACAGCGGCGCTGAGAGCGGGCACCTCCGGCTCTCCGTGCGGCCACGGAAGACACACCTGACACCTTCGTGGCTCCAAATCGGCCGTGTCCTGGCATCCCCGGCGCCACCTCCTGTGCCCCTCACATCAGTCTGTGGCCACGAGACAGCAGAGGGAGAGAGGACCGTGTGGGCAGAAGGCAGGGCTTTGTGTCCAGTCGGACGGGAAGTGCTAATTGCATTAGGGATGAGCGATGGGCGGGGGCCAGGTTGGGGACCCTGTGGGTGAGCAGAGGCCCAGCAGAGGTGCTGCTCCCTGCTGCACCCCTGTGTCCCTCCCAAAATGAACCCCCTCCCTGCAACCCAGCCATGTCGGGGTCTTTCAGCCCCACCCCACTCGCTCTACCCCAGGGCCTTTACACCTGCCGTCTCGGCTGTCAGGAATCCTCCTCCCTCTCCTCTCCATGTGCTGAACTCCCCTCTGCCCAGGCCTCACCTTTCGTCTGCATTGAATTCCCACGGAAACCCTCTGAATGCCAGCTACCTCTGTGCCCGAGACTTGTCGCAGCCACGCCCGCCGCTGCGGGAGTCTGATTCATGGCCGTCTTCCACTGCCGGGAAGCTCTGAGAATGGCGGCTGGGTTCGGCTCGTCTGCACAGTGACGGCCTCTGCCGCTGGCTTGGGCTCTGGCTGCCTAGAGCGAGCTCCCCAGATCTCGGCGGGGTTCCCTGCTCAGAAGTGAACTAGTCACGCTCGCACGTGTGAAGTGCACCGCCCCGGGCCCTCACGTGCCGCCTGTCTCCTCTGCGTGACGCCAGGTCTGCCACGGCATCCCCAGTGGGGCTCGACAGATGCAGACTCGGGGCCAGCGGCAGACGCTGGCTGTGCCAGGCCGGTCTCCTCCCCACCCGGTGCACGCTCAGCGATGAGCCAGCGACGCAGGCTGGGTGCCGTCGCCGAGAACCACCAGGCCGCTTTGGGAAGCCACGGCGCCACCTGGGCCATTCGGACAGCTGGGTGGAGCCCCTAGCCCAGCCAGCCCCCGTGTGGTCAGGGCTTTGCTAGGAAGGCCCATCTGCCTGCCCTTGAGCTTGGGACCGCCAACGTGCGGTCCCTGCACCAGGGGCACCTGGGAGCTTGTTGAAGATCCAGGGTCAGCACCTGAATTCGAAAGGCACCTCCCCCACCCCCGGTGATCGGCGCGCACGGGCAGGGACCCCCACCACTGAGGGTCAGAAGAGGCCAGAGGGCCAAGGGCTCTTGGGGAGGGGAGGCCTCGTCAGGTGTGCCCCTCGTGACCGTGGGTTCTGGGGCAGGATGCAGAGTCCCCACACAGTCTGTGCCTGAGGAGGGGCATTTTGAGTGATGCTACCTGGTGAGGATGGGAGGGGGAGGGGGAGAGGGAGAGGAAGGGGGGCCTCTAGCGTGGCACTGAGGCCAGGGTCGGGGGGCAAGCCCCTCATCCTGTCTGGTTTCCAGCTCCACCTTTGAAATGGGTTCCTAACCCCCCCTCTGGATGAGGCTG